ACAAAAGAACAATAAAAAACGTGTATTTATGCAATTGATAAGTTTACAATCTATGCATGTATTTTATTAAAATAGAATTTTTGAATGGAATTATTTTAAGATTCTTTTTTATTACATATGCAATAAGGATACTTATTATTAATAATAATTTATAATACCAATAAAACTAAAAATGAAATTAAAAAACAATAGTAGTTCATAAATATATTATAAAAAACGGTAAAAAAAAAGTTGAGAAACTATGTACTCAAATTACGTACATGTTTGATTAGACTTATATTGTCTAAAAAAAGGATCACACACCTTATGACATATTTTGTTAAAGCTATTACATAGTATTCACAATCGTTTTAAGTGTATGAAAATTAAAATAATTAAAATTACACACATTTATAGAGCAAGCCTAATTTATAATACATAGATAAGTAGCTTTATTAAAATAGCTACATCCTAATATACAACTATGTAATAAGCTCTGCGAAATTACAATACCTGCAAAGGATTTTTTTAAAAATTGCTTGCACATAGCATGAAAATCTTTCAATGTATATTCGGAGGCTGGATTTTTCTTCTTTTTTGCAACAAACAAAAAACGTTTCCTTAACGTTGCTATCTTCAGTCGCAGTCTCTGCTTTCTTGGAGTGTTTGATGATAATACACTACTCGTTTGAATTTGTGCTGTTGCACAAGGTAGAGGAACAGATGGTTGACTATGAACTTGTTCAATAGATTCTACTTCTGCTGATGTTGAGGGTAGGCACAAGTTGTCTTTGCCTTTTTCGCCATGAACAACAAATGCCTCTAAAAAAAAAAAGAATGAAAAAACAAATTTTCATCAGATCAACTAGTTTTAATTAAGAAGGTGCATCATTTGTCAGAATTAAATGTTTAAGTCACACTTTTTAGCCAGATGAAATTTAAAATAATTTCATAAAATGTGAATAAACTGCTTTATGTCATTCTAGTCAACTGTTTAGTACAACAGATTGAATGTTGTTAAATTATTAAATTTCAACTAGATATGCATTTAGATACCCCATTTATTGTCACAATATTTGTATTTTTTACTAACTTAACTGATAAAACTACTTTATTTTAATTTGCATAAGTTGTTGTATGTCGACATAGTACAGTTTACCTCCAAGGCAGTTCTATAAAATGGAATGTATGGGTTGAATTTATATTTATATTTTTTATATATTGAATGTTTATAAAATAATAATTAAGATTATTAATACTTATCATTTTATTTTTTAAACTACTAAATGTAATGTAAAAAAATAACAAGCGAAACAAGTAGCAAACTTTTTGTAACATTTAACTATAAATTTTATTTATTTACCTTGCAGAACTGTGACTCTTTTCATAGATTCTGAGTGAGGAAATACTGATGGGAATGCATTTGCAAATAATCGTTTTCTTGCTCCTGACTGATAAAACGAATTTATCCTGGAAGTGCAGTTCACAAATTTTGTAATGTTTACTTAAGTATTCAACACTCTTTCCCAATAAGTCCTTTCTATTTGCTGCCTGAAGCCACAATTCAAGTCTGAAAAATACATACAATCATTGTACTACAATGTTATGGAAAGGTCAATTCCTATTTCACACTCAATGTTTCATACATACCTCACTGGATCTTTCACAAGAGTGAACAATCCTTCTTTGTCACCTGTTCTTGAGGTACATCCACGATAAATACAAGTATACCCTCCTCTTCTTTGACGCGACATTGTTTATAAATATAATCTTAATACGTACAATAAAGTCTTAAATGAACACTCCACAATTAAAAACAGCAACAAAGACTAAAGATAAACCACTAACAAAACGTAAAAGTTATTAGAATATTCGCTAAAACCAACCAAAAATCAAAAGACGACAGGCAAAAAAATATTGACAGCGACAGCAGTGACAGCTTCGTTCATCTGCTACAAAAGTGTGCACTGTTGCACTTCGAACAAGTAACAAATCTACGATTCACTTTTGACATTGCTCCACCATAAAGAAGGTGTGGCTTCGGTTGCTAGGTTCCTAGTTTAGCCCTATGTTTCTTTTCTGTATCGTTCTTTATCCTGTGCTATTGTTTCGAGACATTTCATTTTGAAGTCTCTATTATCATTATTTTGTTTTTGACATAAAATCTTGTGACAGGCTCCTGGTTCACCTACAGTGAATCAGCGAGTCTGTGTGGCGCTGTGAAGGTGATTCCCGAATAGGAGTTGCTCAGGCGCCAGTTTTGGTATCGCAGTTTGCTCTGCGACCCTGTGGTACACCAGAGTGTACTCAAGGTGAACTCAGTGGAGGTAAAAATAATTCCAGGTGGTCACTGCTAGGTATCCACTATACTAGAATAAATAACAAGTATTAGAAATTAAAAATTTAAAAAACCGACTTCAAAAACGTGCAGATGCCATCACCACATCTTAACCAAATTTATATGGGACCACCTCTGAGGTACCCCCTTACTAACAAAAAAAGAATCATATAAATCGGACAAGGTGGTAAAGCATTATCGTTAAACATACATAAAAAATGAAGAGTTTGAGGATTTTCTCATGGACCCAATTATTAAATTTTGACTAAATTTATATGGGGCCACCCCTGAAGTACCCCCTTTCTAACAAAAAAAGAATTATTGAAATCGGACCCCATGTTAAAGAATAATTGCTGAACATACATAAAAAAAATATCGCGACGAATTGATAACCTCCTCCTTTTTTGAAGTCGGTTAAAAATAAAACACTTATCTTCTTTCTACCTCGTTCCCTACGGTACCCTGAAAGAGAACGGTCAAGAACCAGCAATAATAGAAACACAGGAATAGGTAATAAAATATATTTACAAAAAAATAAATACAACTGTAATTATATATGAACGGCTCCCTGCATTCGGAAAATCTATTCTTTAAAAATAAATTATTAAAATTGAAAAGTATTTAAATATTGACGGATCCCTATATCCGGAAAATTTAATAAAAATAAATTATTAAAGTTGAAAATTATTTAAATATTGACTGATCCCTATATTCGGAAAATTTAATAAAAATAAATTATTAAAGTTGAAAATTATTTAAATATTGACGGATCCCTATATTCGGAAAATTTAATAAAAATAAATTATTAAAACGTAGGGAAATTTTTATGGAAAATAAATTATTATTATTGAAAATTATTTAAACATATAGAAATATTTATGGTTTATTAGCTCAGGAGGCTAATCGGACTGGGAAGTGTGAAACGCCCAGTATACGGAAAATGTATGAAAATAAATTAATACACTTGAAAACAATTTAAATATGATGGTAATCAAATGCAAGCAAATAAATGAAATCAAAATTGTCGGAGTCCCCTTGTATCTTAATAACCAATCGATGGGAAACGAAAATTTTCGCCTACTGATAAATATGATTATTCACGCGGTGTTTTGAACGGCGACCACAACGATCGTAGAAAATAATATTTATGAATTTTGCCCAGCGTCTATCGAGAGCGTGTGTGTGAATTTAATTTTACAGATATTAATATTAATTGATATTAATTCAAGTTACACTTTTTGAGCGTGGTGACCAATAAATTGAATAAATGAGAAGTTAATATTGTTTAAAATATTTTTAATTTCTTACAATACATGTAGGTTATTCAGTTATTTTTATTATAGAGGTTTATAAAATAATTTTTTTTACCACTTTGCTCAGGATAGGGTTTGGCACAGGTGCAATTTGGTAAAGTACAATGTTGTTACATGTCTTTGGAGCATATTTCATGTCGTTATCAGATGACGGTCGAAATTTGCAGTGGGCTCTTGGGCTAAAAGGTACTAAATACTGCATTTGTGATAATAATAAAATGTATGTACATAGAGTACTCACTCATTTTCTTTCATTATTTTTTCATCATTTTCTTCATTAATAAATGCACTTTGTTTATTCATATTTAAAACACTTTATACACAAATTTTACGCGTACAGCTATTCACTGTTCGCTTTGCGCCACCGAGGACATATTGATAGATGTTTGGAATCGCTTATAATAATATATAACAATTTATTACAAATATTTATGAAAAATTTTATCATGTCAAATGATACCTATATTGTAATTTAATGGAATCACATAAATATATGATTTAAAAACTATAAAAGTATCATTATTACTTAATTGTATTAATTTTTAATCTTGAGAGATTAAAAGTTTAAACATAAGTCATCTAAATAAATGCATTTTTTTATTATACCCCGAAATGTGAATTTAAAATCTTTCTACAGTAAATATGACTTATTTTAATGTTGGCCGGCAATTAAACCCTCTCAAAAGTGTCTGCCTAAATTACTAGTATTTTTAGAATTACCTAAACTTTTAATTGTCGGGAACATTTGTGATACCAATTTATTAGAAGCTCTTCTAGTTCTTGTATTGCACAAATGTTCCAGTCCGCAGACGTATATTTAACTTCGTTTTATACTAATACGAATAGGGTCGGATATAACATTCCATGGCTTTAACGTCACACTGCTGTGCCGGTCGGAGTGGGGGGTGTTAGGTTTATTTTCGTTACGGTGTTACGAAATTTCTTGATTCGGTCGCCACTCAAAGCCCGCGATAAAAGCTATGCAATAGCTTAATAAAAAGTTCATTGGTTTATTTGATCAAATAGTTTTTATTTTATATAATTTAATCACAGCTACTACATCTTTTGGTGCCAGTCAATATATAATAAAATATGGGAGACGATTACAGTTTAATTTTTTTTTTTTTTAAATAACAGAAACCAGATCTTTCTGTTTCACACGAAATATTGACTGGCACCAGAAGATGGAAAAAAATCCGAAACATATGTAGTGCCTGTGATTAAATTATATAAAATAAAATAAAAACTATTTGACCAAATAAACCAATGAACTTTTTATTTATATAAAATTCTACTACGGTCAGGAAATTATCCTTATTCAAATATATGTAAATGTGTATTAAAAATAACAAAATAATTTTGTTTTTCAGTTGGGTGCTGAAAAAGCTGTTTCTTTCGACAATGGCTTAGATGGATCTATTGCAGAAGATTGCTTTTTTGCAATGCGTGCTTTCAGTGAAGGCTATAGTTTTAATTTCATTGAAGGAGAAATGTGGGAAAAATCACCTTTTACTCTCTGGGACTTTGTGCAACAAAGAAAACGTTGGCTTCAGGGAATACTTTTAGTTGTTCATTCAAAAGCTATACCAGTGAAAAATAAACTCCTCTTGGCATGTTCTTGTTATTCTTGGTTAACATTGCCTCTGTCGGTTTCAAATCTAATTTTAGCTTCGAAATTTCCAATACCGTGTCCACCATTTATTGATTTTATGTGTGCATTTATAGGTGCAGTAAATATTTACATGTTCGTCTTTGGTGTTATAAAATCATTTACTGTATATAGATTTGGATTACCCAGATTTTTGTTATGTGTAATTGGAGCAGTATTTGTAATACCTTTTAATTTAATTATTGAAAATATTGCTGTAGTTTGGGGTATTTTAGGCAAAAAACATAAATTTTATGTTGTTAATAAAAACAGTGGCCCCACAATTACTGTTTAATCTTATCCAATGCAAGGCACAAATTTGTATGCTCAATTTAAAGTATTATTTAAATAGTGCTTGTTTTTTATACCAAAGAAATCCTTTAAGTATTATGTACCATTAGAAATGTATTAAGTAATAACTTGCAATAATGAATTTTTTGCAGTCATTTTGTTTTTATTTCTATATAATCTGATTAAATGCATCTAGAACACTTAAGCGACCAGTTAAGAAGGAATCTTTAAAATTTATGTAGGTATGCGTGGTGTCCGACTTAATAGGAACTAAATGCGAATTTTAGAAATGAAAGGAGTTCGATCTACAAGGGAAAAAGGATGTCAACATCGGATGATATAATAATGTACCCATCAGTTTCAGATTGTTATCTTTCTTATCGAAAAATATATTAAAGAAAATAAATACGATATATTATTTTTTTTTTTCCAAATATCTAGAGACTTTATTTTTTTTTTTAATGTAATGAAGTTTATTGTAAATTGTTATCTTCTGTTACTTTTCGTATCTGTTACCGTTTCCGAAATACCAAAGTAGTTTAATTTAAGTGGGACACCCTGTATATAAAAATATTAACAGGAATATATCTAAACTCTTTAAACACCCTTAAGAATGAACTTGGGGAGTACACAATCACAGGGAAGGAAACAGTAAGGGGACTCTTCAGGGTTCACTTCCCTGGTGCACAAACCATAGCACACACAACGGCTAACCAGAATCTAAACGGACTGGAAGCTCATAATAGAGCCAACAGGGAAGATTGGAGGATAGCCAAACAAGTGGTGAACTATGATAAACTGAAATGGGCAATTAGCTCATTCGAACCATATAAATCACCGGGTATGGACGGGATTTATCCAATAATGTTACAAAGATGTCCTGATATTTTATACAGCAGACTCTGTAACATACTCAGAAGTAGCCTGGCCTTTGGACACATACCAAAAGCTTGGAGAAATATTAGGGTAACTTTTATACCAAAACCTGGGAAAATGGGACAGGAAACGGCAAAGTCCCTAAGACCAATAAGTCTAATGTCCTTCGTACTTAAGACTTTGGAAAAACTGCTAGATAGGCATATTAGAGACGGGATATTGGTTCAAAGGCCAATATACCAAGACCAATACGCCTATAGTGCAGGGAAATCAACTGAAACAGCTCTCCATTAACAAATAATAAGGGTGGAGAACACACTGGAAAACAAGGAGGTAATGCTGGGAGCATTCTTGGATATCGAGGGTGCATTTGACAATACCTCCGTTGAATCAATCATTAGATCTCTCAAACACAGAGGAATCGAGGACACATGCGTGTCCTGGATCGACTCTATGTTAAGGGAGAGAACTATACACACAACCCTTATGGGAGAGACAACAGCGGCACGGGTAGCGAGAGGATGTCCACAGGGTGGAGTGCTGTCTCCACTCCTGTGGAACCTTGTAGTGGACGGGCTGCTTAGGGCTCTCAAAGATAAGGGACATAGAACCCTGGGATATGCCGATGATCTAGTGATCATGGCACAGGGAAAATACAACACTATAGTAAGAGATCGAATGCAAGAGGCTCTAAATATAGTAACAAAATGGACAGAGGCGGAAGGACTAAACATTAGCCCAAACAAATCTGACATAATTACATTCACCCGCAGGAGGAAATTGGAGGGACTAGAGCCTCTAAACCTAAGAGGTGCAAGCATCCAGCTTAAGGGGGAGGTAAAATATCTCGGGGTTATGATTGACTCGAGACTTACCTGGAACCAGCATCTAGAAAGAACCACAAGGAGAGCGGAAACCTCATTAATGATGGCAAGGCGATCCTTTGGAAAAAAATGGGGGTTAAAACCAGACATGGTATATTGGATTTATAACAATGGTGGTGAGACCCATAATAACATACGCAGCTTTGGTGTGGTGGCCAAAGACACAGCAAAGGAAAGCAATAACGAGGCTTAGCAAGGTACAAAGACTTGCCTGCCTCGGAATAACGGGGGCAATGAAAACAACCCCCACTGCTGCAATGGAAGCACTAATAGGACTCCCACCTCTTCACTATGTGATACAAGGGGAGGCAAGATTAGGTGCTTACAGATTAGGGAATACACTGGGAAATCTTGACATTAGGCCAGATCACATGAGTATCTCAAGGTTAGTGACAGGAGACATGCTAGACATGAGATCAGACCACTTAACCAAGAGGTACTCTTTTAATACAGGAAAGAGCGGAGATCACCATAAGGGAGCCCAATGCCCAACGACAGGAACAAACCTGGTATACAGACGGGTCTAAGACTGCGGAAGGCAATGGGGCAGGAGTATTCTCCAAAAACCCTGATACTAACCATAGCTATGCTATAGGAATACATTCCTCGGTATTTCAGGCCGAGGTATACGCAATTTTGCAATGTGCAAAAACGAACAATGAAAGCTGTCGAAAATCAGCATATTCAAATAATGTCAGACAGCCAAGCGGCACTTAAGGCCATATCGAGTCAGAAAGTTACGTCGAGGCTGGTATGGGAATGCATCGAAGAACTAAGAACACTGGCAGACCGTAATAGAATAAAACTATTTTGGGTGCCAGGTCACAAAGGGATCGAAGGCAACGAAAAGGCTGACGAACTTGCAAAAAGAGGGTCAGAAGAAACACCGGAACCAGACACAAACCCAGGAGTACCAAAAAGTACAGTCCGGGGTTTTATAAATGACTGGATTCGGGAACAACATATCAACTATTGGGGAAGCACCCCAAAACAGGCACATGGAAAAGCCTTCATAGGCAGACCATGTCCCAAAAGAACTGGAGAACTACTCTTAATGAATAGGAACCAGTTGAAAGTGATCACAGGGTTCATGACTGGGCACGCCCCAGTAAAGGGACACTTGAACAAAATTGGCATGTACAATTGGAAACTCATGTGCCGACTATGTCACAAGAAACCAGAAACGGCCAAACACATACTGTGCGAATGCGAAGCTCTAGATCGCAAAAGACAGGCTCTTTTTGGACAACCCCAGGTTGATCCAACAACGTATAGAACCCACTCACCCAAGGATCTGTACAAACTTGTACAAGGTACAAAGGTGATAGAGTGGGTGCTATGAACTAACATGGGGTAAAACACAATAAGCCAATAGGCTTCAGTGTTATTCGGAGACACAGTCAGACGAGCCCAGGAAAAAAAACTCTTTAATATATAATAAAGAGTGTTTCCCAATGATATGCGAATATGTACAGGGTGTGAATCTACATGAACAATTAACTATAGTATGCTTTATGAACTATGGCCCGAAAAGGTTCAGTTAGAAAATGCAGGATGCTAATGTTTTAGAATATTGAATATTTTTCAATACAAAATTAATTTTCAGCGTGCCGCGCGTACGGGCATTGACTTATTGCAATTATTTAAGGATACAATTTTGGAATAAATCTAGTTGCCCTAGAACAGTGGTCGACAACCTCTCAATGTGTTGAGCTACTTTGTTAATTTTGGAATAAACAGCGAGCTACACACATGGAAGCCACGTAACGCAACGTAAATGAAATAATCCACAGTTAATTTATCATATGTATTTATTTTACTATTTAACTGGTAATACATAATACATAGGTACTAATAATAAACTAATAACAAAATAACTAATATTACTAGTACGTACTTGTTCATAGATACATTCCTACCTACCAAACGAAGGTGTTTGAAAAATAAACACAAACTTTTATCCAGCCACAACGGCATGTCACGTAAGATTTAAAAATAGTTAATAATAACAACAAAAAGTAACGCACTATCATGAACATAAACATTGAAAAATAAAAAAGCACGTTCAATGTGAAGGCTGACACTCAGACTCATCGATAATTTTTTTAATGTTTGCCGTATAATTTGATACAGCCATTCGAATACAATTATCCAAATGTTCATCTGTAAGTCAATTACGATATGTGTTCTTAATAAACTTTATATTGGAAAAAGAAGATTCACACAAATAGGTTGAACTGAATAATGCTTTCACTTTCAAGAACGGCATAGAACTGAATATTTGTCTTTACTTACAAAAGGCCAGATACATTTGGTACTTGAGACTAACGATTTTAAGGGTAAATCATTTTGAAACTCAATTACTTCCATTTCTGTTGCAGCGATGTCTTCGCCAAAGTTCTGCATAACACAAGTTGCAAACTGTTGGATATCAATTTCCATAAAGGGTGAAACAACAAACTGCGCTACTAAAGCCATTTCGTTGAAATCCTTAAAACGATTTTTGAAGTTATTCTTCAGGGTAGAAACTATTTCTACATGATATTTGCTGTCATAGGGTTCTAATGGACTTTGAGATATTTTTTCTGAAAGAATAGGAAAATGCTTGGCATCGCTGTTAATTAGGTTTTGTTCCCAAAACTCCAGCTTTTTGATAAATGCTTTTATATCAGAAATAGTTCTTTGTCTCTCCTCTGAAGCTACAAATTAAGTTCGTTTAATTTCTCTGTAATGTCCACGAGAAAACCAAAATCTCTAAGCCAGATTGAATTTTCTAGTTCCGGAGTCGGTTCATCGCGTTGTTTGAAAAATTGAACTATGCCAGATAGGACATCATTAAAACGTTTCAGCACCCGTCCTCTACTAACATCGGACTTCAGAGTGAAGGAGTAGGTCCCCGTATTGACAGTCAACTATATCGTCCAAGGTTTTGAATAATCTTCTTTGTAACGCTTGAGCTCTAATCTTTTTCACAATTTTTACCACCAGTTTCATAACGTTGTTTAGTTTCAGGAAATGTCCACATAATGCTTGCTGATGGATAATGCAGTGGTAACAGAGAAATTGCGGAAAAGTTTTATCTTTACGACATAACGCCACCAGACCCTTATCACAACCCACTATAGCTGGAGCGCCATCGGTTGTCAAGCCTACCATTATATTGGAATTTTCTCGGAATAAATATTTTTTAAATGAGAAAACAACTACTGTCCAGTAGTGCGTCCTTTCAGTGGAATAAACTACAAAAGATCTTCTTTAATCGTAAAATTACTAAAAACGACATCTGTTGATTCATCCAGTTGAAGTGAAAAATAAACACAGTTATCTAAGTCAGTTCTTAACTGTAAAAAAATATCATTGCTCATTACTTCTACACGTCTCATCACTGTATTAGCAGAAAGTTGCATAGATTTTATAGCTGAAACCATCTCGTCTTTCTTTCTAATGTTGGCAAATAACGAATCAGCAGTTTCTAAAAACGCCTGTTTTATCATTTCCCCGTCTTCATAAGGTTTCTTTTTTTGTGCAATTATCTGGGACACACGCGCCTCAGTTGCAGCCTTATTTTTGTCGACTGTTCTTAAAAATATTGATTGTTGTCCATTTAACTGCTTTTTTAACTGTTTCAGTTTCTCCTTTCTGGCGACA